TCATTTGGATGTGATGCTGTGATGCTGTGATACTGTGATGCTGTGATGCTGTGATGCTGTGATGCTGTTATACTGTGATGCTGTGATGCTGTGATACTGTGATGCTGTGATGCTGTGATGCTGTGATGCTGTTATACTGTGATGCTGTGATGCTGTGATGCTGTGATGCTGTGATACTGTGATGCTGTGATGCTGTGATGCTGTGATGCTGTGATACTGTGATACTGTGATGCTGTGATGCTGTGATGCTGTGATGCTGTGATACTGTTATACTGTGATGCCGTGATACCTCTTTGGGGTCGCAGATCCACTTGGTGGAGTCGGACCCGGCGCACTTCGCAGCGGGGCTGGTGGACACCTTCCTGCCCTACGACAGCCGGGAGCACCGGCGGGACGAGGAGCACGCCGAGCGGGTGACGGAGCTGCTGCGCTCCCGGGGGCTGCAGCCCCACGCCTGCCTCTCCTATTGGGATGACTGCGTGGTGCTGGCGGCCCTGGTGTGCGAGCGCTTGGGGCTGCGCTGCAGCCCGGTCCATGCCGTCCGTGTGGCCAAACAGAAGAGCCGAACCCATCAACACCTCCAGCGCTGCCGCCGCGGCCGCCCGCCTCCGGCCGCCTTCTCGGTGCCCTGCTGCCGCCTGCGGACCCATGGGGACGTGGAACGGGCGGCGGCGTCCGTGCCCTTCCCAGCCGTGGCCAAACTGGAGTTCGGGGCCGGTGGGGTCGGGGTGAAGGTGGTGGAGAGCCTCGAGCAGTGCCAGGAGCACGCAGCGCGGCTGTGGCGAGACCTGCGGGACGATGCCGATCACCCCGGTATCGGGTTGGGATGGGGCAACGCGATGCTGCTCATGGAGTACGTGCCCGGTACCGAGCACGACGTGGACCTGGTGCTGTTCGAAGGGCGTTTGATGGGAGCTTGGGTGTCCGACAACGGCCCCACTCGCTTGCCCGCATGCCTGGAGACCGCTGCTTGCCTCCCGTCCTGCCTCCCCGCCGACCTGCAGGCTCAACTGGTGCGGGCAGCCCTGCAGTGCTGCCTGGCTTGCGGGCTCCGCGACGGCGTCTTCAACGTGGAGCTCAAACTGGGACCAGCGGGGCCCCGCTTACTGGAGATCAACCCCCGCATGGGGGGGTTCTACCTCCGCGACTGGATCCAAGAGGTCTACGGCGCCGACCTGCTCCTAGCGGCCGTACTGGTGGCACTGGGGCTGCCGCCGGTGCTGCCCGCCCGCCCCGCTCCCCGCACGCACTTGGCCGGGGTGATGTGCTTGGGGTCGGAGCACGGAGCCGCGCTCGGGGCCGGCGGGGGGATGCGGGCGCTGCGGGAGCTGCAGAGCCGGGGGCTCGTCCGCCTCAACCGGCTCTTCGAGGAGACGGCGGCCGATGGGGAGTACGAGGAGCCCTGCTTGAGCGTGGCGTGTGCGGGGCAGAGCAGAGCCGAGGCTTGCGGGCGGCTGCTGGGGCTCTGCCAGGCGCTGGGCATCGATTCCCCGCGGTACCCGGTGGAGCATTTCCTGTCGCACTTCAAATAGCGGCGGGGATGGAGCGGGGATGGGATGGGGATGGAGCGCGGATGGGATGGGGATGGAGCGGGGATGGGATGGGGATGGAGCGGGGATGGGATGGGGATGGAGCGGGGATGGGATGGGGATGGAGCGGGGATGGGAAGGGGATGGAGCGGGGATGGGATGGGGATGAAGCGGGGATGGAGCGGGGATGGGATGGGGATGGAACGGGGATGGGATGGGGATGGAGCGGGGATGGGATGGGGATGGAGCGGGGCTGGGTACCCCCCCCCCTCCGCTGTGCTGGTACCCCCCCTCCTGCAGCAGCATCCCCGCCGTACCGTGAAACACCATCCCCTGGCATCCCATAATATGATACCCCATCCTCTGGCATGACCTGAATCCCCTGGCATCCCATAATATGATATCCCATCCCCTGGCATGACCTGAATCCCCTGGCATCCCCTGGCATCCCATAATATGATATCCCATCCCCTGGCATGACCTGAATCCCCTGGCATCCCCTGGCATCCCATGGCTCTCATGGATCCAAGTGCCCTACCCCGGTGACTCATCCCCTGGCATCCGACTCCATTCTGGCACCCATCCCCTGTCACCCTACCCCTGTGACATCCCATCCCCTGCCAACCCCTTCCTTGGCATCCCCGTTCCCTGCTTTGCTGATCCATCCCACCCCATCCTCTACTGTCTCCCAATGGTACCCTGCTCCCCAGCATCCCCCTGGATCCCAATATCCTACCCTGGCACCTCGTCCCATGGCAACCCCTGGCATCCCATCCCCTGGCAACCCCTTCCTTGGCATCCCCGTTCCCTGCTTTGCTGATCCATCCCACCCCATCCTCTGCTGTCTCCCAATGGTACCCAGTTCCCTGCTCCCCAGCATCCCCCTGGATCCCAGTCTCCTACCCTGGCACCTCGTCCCATGGCAACCCCTGGCTCCCCTGATCCCAATTCCCTGCCATGGCCCCTCCAAACCCTGTCCCAGTATCCCTTGTCCCCATAGTTGTGGGGTCTGGTGTCCCTCCTATGCCAGGGGACAGGCAGGGAACACACACCAGTATAGGAAGAACCTACAACAACAAATCAGTGTGGGGGAGACCCTACAATAACAAAGCATCATGGGGGAGACCCCATAGTACCCGAATGAGGTGGGGAGACCCTACAACAACATAGTTTGAAGAGGAGACCCCACAACAACAGAGCAGCATGGGGAGACCCTACAACAACAGACCAGCCCCAGCGACCCTATATATCCCCCTGGGTTGGGTACCAGTGCTCCTGCCCCACAGCAGGGCAGCCGGGGGTCCCATAGCATTATGGGGACGTCCGTGGGTCAGCACCCTCTTGACCCCCCCACTGGGGACCCCTCAATGACACGTGAGCACCGCAGTGCCTGGGAACCCCAGTGACACTCAACCTGAGACCCTACAAGAACACAGCCCCCATAGTGCCTGAGACCCTACAAGAACACATAGTCCCTGCAGCGCCTGAGACCCTATAACACCAGTAGTGACCCCATAATAACAATAACACAGCCCCTGTGGTGCCTGAGACCCTACAACAACAGTAGTGACCCCATAATAACACACAGTTCCCGTAGTGCCTGAGACCCTATAATAACAGTAGTGACCCCATAATAACACACAGTTCCTGTAGTGCCTGAGATCCTACAATAACGATAGCGACCCTACAATAATATACAGCCCCTGTAGTGCCTGAGACCCTATAATAACAGTAGTGACCCCATAATAGCACACAGTTCCTGTAGTGCCTAAGACCCTACAATAATAGTAGCGACCCTACAATAATAGACAGTCCCTGTGTGCCTGAGACCCTACAATAACAGCAGTGACCCCATAATAGCACACAGTTCCTGTAGTGCCTGCGACCCTACAATAATAGTAGCGACCCTACAATAATAGTAGCGACCCTACAATAATAGACAGTCCCTGTGTGCCTGAGACCCTACGATAACAGCAGTGACCCTACAATAACACACAGCCACCATAGTGCCTGAGACCCTACAACAACAGTAGTGACCCTGCAATAACACACAGCCACCATAGTGCCTGAGACCCTACAATAACAATAGCGACCCTAAAATAATACAGCCCGGATAGTGCCTAAGACTCTGCAATAACAAACAGCCCTATAGTGCCAGTGACCCTACAACGCTAACAACCCTATAGTAACACATAACCCCTGTAATGTTTGAGACCCTACAATAACAGTAGCGACCCTACAATAACACACAGCCACGATAGTGCCTGAGACCCTACAATAACAGTAGCGACCCTACAATAACACACAATGCCTATAGTGCCTGAAACCCTACAATAACACACAGCCCCTATAGTGCCTGAGACCCTACAATAACACACAGCCCCTATAGTGCCTGAGACCCTACAATAACAGTAGCGACCCTACAATAACACACAGCCCCTATAGTGCCTGAGACCCTACAATAACAGTAGCGACCCTACAATAACACACAGCCCCTATAGTGCCTGAGACCCTACAATACTAGCAGCGACCCTACAATAACACACAGCCCCTATAGTGCCTGAGACCCTACAATAACAGCAGCGACCCTACAATAACACACAGCCCCTATAGTGCCTGAGACCCTACAATAACAGTAGCGACCCTACAATAACACACAGCCCCTATAGTGCCTGAGACCCTACAATAACAGTAGCGACCCTACAATAACACACAGCCCCTATAGTGCCTGAGACCCTACAATAACAGTAGCGACCCTACAATAACACACAGCCCCTATAGTGCCTGAGACCCTACAATAATAGTAGCGACCCTACAATAACACACAGCCCCTATAGTGCCTGAGACCCTACAATAACAGTAGCGACCCTACAATAACACACAGCCCCTATAGTGCCTGAGACCCTACAATAATAGTAGCGACCCTACAATAACACACAGCCCCTATAGTGCCTGAGACCCTACAATAACAGTAGCGACCCTACAATAACACACAGCCCCTATAGTGCCTGAGACCCTACAATAACAGTAGCGACCCTACAATAACACACAGCCCCTATAGTGCCTGAGACCCTACAATAATAGTAGCGACCCTACAATAACACACAGCCCCTATAGTGCCTAGACCCTACAATAACAGTAGCGACCCTACAATAACACACAGCCCCTATAGTGCCTGAGACCCTACAATAACAGTAGCGACCCTACAATAACACACAGCCCCTATAGTGCCTGAGACCCTACAATAACAGTAGCGACCCTACAATAACACACAGCCCCTATAGTGCCTGAGACCCTACAATAACAGTAGCGACCCTACAATAACACACAGCCCCTATAGTGCCTGAGACCCTACAATAACAGTAGCGACCCTACAATAACACACAGCCCCTATAGTGCCTGAGACCCTACAATAACAGTAGCGACCCTACAATAACACACAGCCCCTATAGTGCCTGAGACCCTACAATAACAGTAGCGACCCTACAATAACACACAGCCCCTATAGTGCCTGAGACCCTACAATAACAGTAGCGATCCTACAATAACACACAGCCCCTATAGTGCCTGAGACCCTACAATAACAGTAGCGACCCTACAATAACACACAGCCACCATAGTGCCTGAGACCCTACAATAATAGTGACCCTACAACAACACACAGCCGCTATAGTGCCTGAGACCCTACAATAACGGTAGCAGCCCTACAATAGCACACAGCCCCTATAGTGCCTGAGACCCTACAATAACCGTAGCGACCCTACAATAACACACAACCCCTATAGAGCCTGAGACCCTACAATAACATTAGCGACCCTACAATAACACACAGCCCCTGTAGAGCCTGAGACCCTACAATAACACACAGCCCCTATAGTGCCTGAGACCCTACAGTAACACAACCCCATAGGGTCTCCACTGGCGACCCTACAATAACACATCGTCCGCAGCCCCACACTGACACCATTGCCCTATAGGAACGCAACATCGTGCCCCCCCCCCGCCCTACAAGCCCTCGGGGGGTGTTTGGGGGTGTCCCCGCCCCCTCCTCCCGGGATGCCCCCCCCCATTGTCGTCACCGATGACGTCACGGCGGGGGGGGGGTCGCAGTAAAGGCTGTGAGCGGCTGCGCTGGCTCCGTTGTTGTCCTTGCGCGACCCCCGTGTGTGCCCCCGGGGGCGGGGCTACGGGAGGAGGAGGAGGAGGAGGGGGCGTGGCTACGGGGAATGGGGCGGGGCCATCGGGGCGGGTCCCGCCGGGGTCCCGGTGACGGCGCCGTCATGGCGGGGGTGTTCGACATCGACCTGGAGACCGAGGAGGGCAGCGACGGCGACGAGAGCGAGATGGGCGCCGTGAGCGGACACCGGAGCGGGGGGGGGGGCACCGGGAGCGGCACCAACCGGAGGGGATCGGGGGCTATCGCGACACGGGGCGATCGCGACAGGGAGCCGGTGGGGAGGGGGGCGCCGATAGAGGATGGAGAGGGGCGAACGGTGCCGGGACACGGGGGGGGGAACGGGACACGGGGATCCCGGTGCGGACCCCCCGGTGCGGCCCCGCAATGGGAGGTTCCTACCGGGAAGGGCCCAGCTCAGCCCCAAAGCATCCGGATGGGCCGGTGCGGGGCACCTCGCCCTGTTGTGCCATGGGTGCTGCCTGCGTGTCATGGGGCCCCTGCCTGCTGTGGGTGCTGCCTGCTATGGGTGCTGCTTGCTGTGGGTGCTGCTTGCTATGGGTGCTGCTTGCTATGGGTGCTGCTTGCTATGGGTGCTGCCTGCTATGGGTGCTGTTTGCTGTGGGTGCTGCTTGCTATGGGTGCTGCCTGCTATGGGTGCTGTTTGCTGTGGGTGCTGCTTGCTATGGGTGCTGCTTGCTGTGGGTGCTGCTTGCTATGGGTGCTGCTTGCTATGGGTGCTGCCTGCTATGGGTGCTGCCTGCTATGGGTGCTGCTTGCTGTGGGTGCTGCCTGCTGTGGGTGCTGCTTGCTGTGGGTGCTGCCTGCTATGGGTGC